CTCTTTCTGATGAATTGTTTTTTGGAGAGGCAGCCTTTTTTGTGGCAGCTTCATCAAATAATACCCTGTAATGTTCTGTGTCAAAAGTTATGGTCTCTTCTGACAAATGTATCACCACTACAGCTGTTGTCTTATAAGCAACAAACAAACCGCCTAGCTATTATTGTAATACACTGACATACACAATAGACAGATAATTACAATCCAACACATCTGCACAGCCTAATGGAAAACATAACTGCAGTCTGTTCATACTGTATCCATCCTAACAAACTGCTTCTTAAGCTTGGTCTGATTTTTGTTTTGTTTTGTTCTTGCTGTGTCTTCATGTGCACCCTCTGTTCTCGGGACCTAAACACCACAACAGCACACTGTAAATGACACCACTGTTGAGGTGGGATCCAGTAGAAGGTCATGTAAAAGCACTCGCATACCCTGAGGCTCTCTTTCTATTTCTTGTCTTAGAGAATTCATGATTCAAAGTTTGTCACTACTGAGGCTCTCTTGCCCAAGTTTCTGTGTTCAGACTGACACAGCCTCTGAAGCTATCAACCCTTAGCAGAGATTTGACCTTAAGTGCCAATCAGACTGATGCTTCTTATTACCTTTATGGCTTATCAATCACATTATCTTATCTATGAAGACAGAAGAAGAAATCTGGCTCAGAGTAAGTAAGATCTGTAGCATGAAGATTTGTCCTTGGGATGGTACCGGTGGGAGTAGCTGGCAGTATCCAGTAAAGAAAGCTTATTTCATGTGGTCGCTCCCTTAGGAAGCAAACAACTTTGGGTCTGATGAAACTATCTTAACCCAAGCTTAACTCAATGGAGTGGTCCTGTGACTGGCTAGAGCTGTTAGATGATAACATGTCAGCTCCTGTAGTTCACTCACCTTGTCTGCAGTTACAGTAGCAAGCTCAAATAGCAGTGTCAGTGACTGTGCTAGCACATTTTGATTATCACACCATCTATAGTAGTTCACTAACTAGAGCTGCAGCATTGACAGTATAAAGAATGGACATCATGACAGCTCCCAGAAGTGAAGCCACGGCGAGTTGACTGTCTCCTGGTGGCCAATTGTAGTATAGGTCATGAATTCCACCCCCTCCATAGAAGTGGATGGGACGTGAAACTTCAAAACTCAAAGTACAAATCAAATACATTTTTCTTACAGGTCACTTCTGTGGTTTTTAGTAGCTATTACACTGATGTGCAGATAAGCGATTATTTTTTGGCAAGTTTGTTTTAAGAAGTTATTTGATGATGTAAAAAGGGTGTATTTAGGTCGATCTGACAGCTTTGATTGGCGGCCCAATGCTGTCACTCCAATTCTGGTCGCTGCTGAGCAGAATCTTATTGCACAAAAGCAAGATGGCAGCTGCCATAGTCACAATATTTTGGCTTCACTTTTGCATAGTGGAGGGAAGTGGTGATGTGACATCAGTTGTCTGCAGATACTACAGTACATCACCAAGCTCCTAGCAACACTGTGCCACTTTCTGGCCAGATAATCTCCAATGAACCGAGTAAACTCCATCTGCTTATAAATACTTTGAGGTGGGGTTGAAAGCTTTTTAAAAAGAACTGTTAGCTGAGTCTTTTAAATGATGACTCATTACAACTTACAACAATATCGTACCTGTATAAGTAAAAGGCCATAAGAATATCATATCCAGTTTATCTGAAGATGACATCAGTAGATTACCACTTGGTCCCTAATCTTAACCTCGTGATGAGGAACTGATTCCTCAGATATCTGCAGAAGTAATTGACTCACAAACATGCACTATTTTTACCTTCATTAGATTTTTTGTTTCACTTCCAAGATTAATTTTGTAAACTGTGTTCAATACTTTCAATAATCTGATGACATTTGTGTTTCTGTAAGTGGTGCTTTATTCTTTTCCTGTTCGGCCACTGAGTAGTTTTCACCGCTGATGACAGCTATTACGATATCATAATGTTTATTCCCAGCATGGTGTCTCCAGGGATGCCTATAAAAATGTGTTGACCTGGCTTCACAGCAGGCCAATAAATTAACTGATAAATAAATGATTGTTTTGGATTTGTGGGTTGTTAATGTTTTGATAGAACAAAGAACTCCCTTCTTTCAGAGCATCACTTACCATTAGCCTCCATTAATTCTGCAAATATGTTCTAGAGTTTGTTTTGTAAATGGCTTCACTTCCTAGACACAGAATCACGATTGTGGATCATCCAACAATAATAAATTGCTCCAAATGGTCATGTGTTTACATTCAGATATGGAATCAGACCACTACAGTCCTGTGAAGGTGACAAAAATTCCCCCTGTAGGAAAACACTTGCTGTTTGCTTTGGCTTTTAAGGCCATTCTGGGAGAGAAGTGCACTGAGCACCATAACAGAGCTGCCAGAGACATGCTATTAATAGATTCTATGTGTGATTTATCCTGCTGTTTCCTGTGTAAGCAACATCACACCTGAAGACCCATTAATCTGCCTCAATGACAGGATAATAGAGTAATATCACAGATGTCTTTCTTTAGCCAAGCCACCCAGGCATTGCGATGCTGCATCAATTTACACCAGAGTTACAAATGGCTTAGGTTGTCTTGATTTTGAATACAGAATCCCATTTTATTTTTAGCTTCTAACTTGCACAGAACTGCAGGCTGATGACTTGTATCGTCTCCTATAATGAGGCAGTTTGTCTCGCTGTAATAACAAAGAAAAAAAAAAAAGAGGTTCTTTGCACACTGCAACACGTTTGCTACATGTGTATCAATCCAAGTGGCAAGGTGGAACAAGGCCCAGTGGCTCTAGTTTGGTTTTCACGACACAGAACTGAGTAGTGTCCTGATGTGAGTCTAACAGTGGCATACACATCATGAGACCAATGTTTAACACGCAGCAAAGGAGGGTCAGCAAAAGGCGAAACGACTTTATCTGGAGTACCGCGTAGTGTTTATGTGCAGGGGACAGTCATTGGCTCATGCACGTCACGTCCTCTTTGGGATGCAAAAAAGAACACCACAAATTCAGTTGTGATACATCTTTATTTAACAAAAGTATCTTTACATGCAGGTTTTTAAGACAAACTGATGATAAAACACCATGAACACAAAACTAAACGGGATGACTCGCTGCAAGCGGAAATTATTCATATTTGTTGGGTGCAGTACTGTAGGAACTCCCCTGTTTAGAACTCTTCTGAATGAGAAAAAAAGAACAGACTTAGTGCTGTGGGTTTGACTCCAGATAGATGACAAACATTAACAGTGAATGCAACCATCCTTACAACAGACAGTAAACACTCCATTAATCACACTAGGCAACTCTGCATGATGTTGTTTGACAAGACAAGAGATGGAAGCTGTTCATCTCCAATACGCACAACTCCTGTAATGTCTGATGCCAGTAAAGTGCGTTCATACTGTATTGGCTGCTCTGTGATGGTTAAACCCAAAAAACACCAAAGAGATGAGATACTGGTGAGTACTGTGCTCGCTTTAAATTTGGCTTCATCACTTTTTGAGGGAAACACGTTAAAGGTCAGCTGAAGGGGAAAAAGTGCAACTTGGGTAAATTTGAGAGATTTTTTTATGCTCCAGCTGCATTTTGCAGGTTTAAAGAGTCTGTTCACCCAAAAGACCAAAAACAGATTTTCTCACTTACCTCTATTGGTATTTAGCCATGCAGACAGTTTAGGCAGGGTTTTAAGATATCTGTCTAAGATTAGTGTTGCCACCCCTGTACAAAGGAGAGAAAGCAATGGTGCTCAAATTATTAAACAATTTACTTATTCAAGTTGCACCTCCCTCCAGAGTCAATACCCCTATTACTCCGTTCATTGCTCATAATCCGCTGTGAAAAGGTTTTCACTGGAACTACTTTCTATTCACAAATTAGTTCCTACATTCTAATACCCAGATTAACAAGGGGAATAACCCAGGAAAGAGATTCTACTCTTGAATCTTTTGAAACTTTTTAATGCTGTGAGCACCAAGATCAGAAGCACACAGAAAACCCAGAAATAACCTGACATCAGCACTGTATGAAAGACTGCAACTCACATTAGTTTGAATTCGAGTACTCTGTTGGCACAGTGGGGGTGGCAACGCAGAGGGCCCTGGCAAAAAGGCTTTAGTTCCATTGTAATTTTCACAAGGTCTAAGCTCCAGTGTACATAATCAGACGCCTAGGGAGAGTGTCTGTCCTTTTGAGCTGTACAATATTGTACAGAAGTAGAAGAAGACTGACAGGGGAAAGGTGAAAATAACTAGTTGGAGTCAGTTTACTGTGACAGTGCACCACTTAGCTGGTTATTACAAAGAGAAATTTACCATACCAATATGTTATCAAATGTACAAACAACATGGAGAAGGAAGAAACAACTGGAGAAAACACATTCAAATGTCTAGATCTGCTGGTTACACTTATAATCCTAAAAACTGTTGAGGCCAAAAGAGAGGAAAAAAAAACAAAACTGGAAGTCAGGAGTAAAATATTTAGCTGCACACCTTGGCAAACCTATTCTAAACTCTTTGGCATGTTTGACCAGCAAAGTTTATAGTTTATAAGTTCATTTCTTTTTCCTATGAATATAAAAATCGAAATAGTAAAAAGTAAAACAAGTATCAAATTTCATATCCTGTATAGTTTATCTTACAATAAAATGTTAACATTAAAGTGTTTTATGCCCAAAAAAGCTTGATATCAATACTACAAAATAATCTAAGCCTTTATTTACACAGCAAAGTGTCACTTCTGTACAGAACATTCATTTCATTAGAACACATACAACACACGTTCATGGCTCATTCATCCTAAATACACACCTATTCCAATGGAGTAAAAGAATTTTTAGGTACCACTTGTAGGGTTCTTTCTCGTCCTTTCCCTGGGATCGAGCTCCATCAGGTTCCATGTCACATAAAGTCATGAAGCTCTGCCTCCAAGGCGGCAGCCATCTCATCTGCCTCTGAGCTGCTGCCTTCCTCTTCCTCATTGGAGTCTTTGGAGGACTCGTCAGCAGATTCTTCTGTCCCCTGCTTGTTCTCCACATCATCATCCTCCTCCTCGGCTTCATTATGCTTACGTTTGTGGCCCCTATAAAGACAAGATGATTTAGAAATGACCTCAATGTCCCATTTAATATACTTAGGCCACAATGTTGCTTTTTTTTTTTTTTGCTTTGTTTATAGGTTCCAAACAACCAGAAAATAAAAAAGAATACTAACAACAAAACCAGACTACACTCCTTTATGGTGGGGACACATTTAATGATAGTTGGAATGATTATGAATGGGATCTGACTATAACAACAACAGTGCCAGTGACACCCACAATCCTGTTAGCAAAGCTCTGTGGAAATCATTCAGGTAGCAGCTTCTGCTGATCATTTTTGTTTCTGGTTAAAACGGCAACCAGCGTAGTCATACCAGCAGTTGCTATCTAATGTTAACGCTGTGACTTAAATTGATGACTGGACAAAATGAAAGTGGTTGTTGTCGGGTTTGTGACCTCGCTGCAGCCGGTGGACAAACAACACGCTGTCTGCTTTTAGCCGGAGATCGTTTAGGAGGTAAAGAGGCATATAACCACAGTGAAGTGAGTGCTTCTCTGTTGTTCCAACAGAGTGAGACGTCTTCACTGGTAAAACTATCAGTTAATCTCACATCAGTGATGGAAATTTATTTTTTTATTGAAACAAAGAAACACATTAACAAAACAGTACCGAACATGGGAGACAAGACAACAGTTACATGACATTACAAAAAGATATAGAGTGTTTAACGAGGTTGTAGTGTGTGAAGTGTGGGTATTTCCAACTTATGCAGTCTATGAAATGCAAGAAAGGGAAAAGGAGGGGAAGTAAATAAATAAATAAATTAAAAAGACCCATAATAATGATGATAGCAGTACTACTAATAAAATCAACTTGTTACATTTTAGAGGTTGGTGGGATTGTGCGTGGCCTCAGCCCCAGGTACTTGATTCAAATTGAAATGACTTAAAAATGGGTTCCATGTGTCATAAAAAGCTGATAAACTATTCTTGTGAGTAGATGCCATTTTCTCTAATGTGATGTTATTCTGTCAGAAAGATGGTCCAGTTATGATGACTGATGTACTGTAGAGTGGTTTTTTTTGTTTGTTTATTTTTATTGAAACAAAGTAACACATTAACAAAACGGGACCGAACATGGGAGACAAGACAACAGATACGTGGCATTACAAAAAGATATAGAATGTTTTACACAATTGTAGTGACTTTGTCTTAATTATGAATTTTAGCTGATTGTACTGGAGGAACTGTTCTCTCTGAACTCCGTACTTCTGGATCAGTGTATTAAATGATATGAACTGGTTATTTTCAAATAGGTGATATACAGTAAGTGAGTGATTCCTTTGTGTTGCCATGTTGGAAAATAGATAGGGTTATTATGTAGTTGGAAATCAGGGTTGTGCCAAATTGGAGTGTATCTACATGGTGCAAGTGATGATTTAGTGATTTTGTTTACTTTCCACCAGGCTGTCAGAGTTGAGAGGATTGTGATGTTTTTACAGTGATTCATTTTCTTAGTAGAGTTTGGTAGAAAAGGGAGGTCTGCAACCGAGTTATTCAAGTTATTTTTGCAGTAATTTTGCTCTAATTCTATCCATGCACTCTTGTAGCTGTCCTTCTGAATCCATTTGACTAAATACTGTAGCTGATTTGCCAAGTAGTAAGATTGGAAATTTGGTGCTTTTAGACCACCTAGTGATTTCTTCTTTTGGTCTGTAGATAGAGAAATCAGTGATGGAAATTGTGTGGGATGGTGCACATGCGAATGGTCATGAAGATTCATCATCTATCATCTTTTACATTATAATTACAAATCCTGCACTTTAGTTCATTTTGTTTTTTTGTTGTTTTTTTTTTACCCAAAGCACTACCAGATGGAAAAGGGGCATTTTTGGCTATATCTGATAATGTTGACTAAAATGTGAGTTAATGAATTCCACAACAGACATATTTTAATACAAGGTGAGAATGGAGTGGATTCAAGATGAAACCAAAGATAGGCAAGCAAAAAATAAAGAAAAAACCCCAAATGCCTTCCCTCTTTCCACTCCAGCTTCTCCATGACATTCTCTGCAGAGTGGCTTATTAGTATGATGCTAATGAGGTGTGCACGGTTTCATATTGCTGCTGTGGGGGTCTGACACCGACTCTCCTGAAAGGGCCCCTATCATTAAACCAGACCACTGTCAGACATCTTTGCTAACCTCCCACAACAGCGTGTGCTTCTACTGTAGCTGACTGTTCATTAAGGGTCAGATGTCAAGTAATATCAACGAAGCCACTCAGTAACATGACAATTACAGCAGACCCCTCCGAACTCTGTGGTGTGTGTGGGGAGGGAAAGGGTTGTGTTTGTGGTACAACAGCACGGGTCCGATCTTCCGAATTGACAATAAATTTAATTTCTGGAGCAATATGGTCAAAGCTCAGTGGTCAGAGGGTAATGTGAGAATCAGCAACAATGGCAAGAGATGAGGCAACTGGTTTATTTGTAGATGATGTAGGAAAATGAACCAATCCCCAGTGTACTGACATCAATGACACTGTCTCTGGTTGGTGACACTGTATGAGTCATTCCAGCCAAGTGTGTGCATATATACACATGGAGAAGTGTGTGGTTTTACACCCGTATCCCACCACCCCCTCTTATCCCATTTCCAAATATTACCAGTGGAGACATCAGGGGGTGGGTGGGGACAAGTCCCTTCATTGCTTTCTGCTTTGCATCATTACATCCAATCTAAACCCCGGTCTATTAATCCAGCCACCCACAGACGCACACATACTGCACACATTCCCACCACATTCACACGTGTCAGTTCCAAAACAGGCTTCATTTGTAATCTACTTTTATTAGTTCTGCTGGTTGCACATGCTGTTAAACGGCACCCTGACAAAGAGAACTTCCTGCAGTTTACCAGTTTATTTACACTTTAGCCATTTTAATTAACATACTCAAGGCAGAGCAAACTATAATAAATGGTATCAATTTAATTTTGAATTTGATAAATGATATTTTCATTTTTATTTTAAACAGTTACTCACTGGTTTAAGCCTTTATGCATAAACTCCAAAGCAAAACTGCTACAAAAATGGAAACCTTTAACATTACTGTAGTGAGAGAAGCAGTAGTTCCCTCAGAAATTTTGGATTTTACAAAGAAATGACCTCAAAAGGAGTACAATCCACAGAAGGGGTCACAAACTAATTGTGGAGAGATAAAAGTGAGGGGGTTCTCCAACTTGAGCGACAAAATAAGTGAAAGATAAGACTTCAAGAGGCAAATTCAAAGTTTCCCCATTATTTTCTTTTACATAGTAATTGACAGTGCAAGTGCTCAGATAATAGGATCTTATGAAACACTTCACTTAAAAATGTTCATTAGTGGATCTCTTACTGGCCAGTAAAGCTGAAGATGTGGCTGTGAACGACACTGTGCCATCACAACTTAAGAAAGTTCCCAACAAGTTTCTCCTTTTAAGAAACTTAGGGTTCTTTTTCAGTGAGAGAGGTTAAACAGTACAGTAGTGCTGGCTTGTCCAGTAGTTGTAAAATGCTGAGAGAGAAATCAAATGCACCAAGCCCAAAGCCGGCTCTGTGAGACCACTTTGCACTAAGCTGCTGATCTGTCTGGTAGCAATCACCAGGCGGTGTTGTAGTTATTTATGCAACTTTTACAACCTCAATCTGAGTGAAAATGTGGGCCCCTCCTACTGATTTATTAGAAAAATTTCCATTTAAAGGCCTCTCTAGGTGCTTTTCAAAAATAAATATGCATTTATCTGAATTCTGTTCATGACAAAATGTGAGAAATGTCGATTATGAGGGTGCAAAAGGCAATAAGGTGCTGTTTTTACAGACACCGAGGTTGAGGTGTTATTACCTCTAAGCACCATGGGAATGTAATTGCATTAGGGATGTCAGGAGGTCTGCTAGTGAACAAAGAGCCTGCAGAGACCCCTGCTTCAACACATCATTAGAGATTAGTCAGGACAACCGTATCTGCCACAACTTGAAACACACTTTTTGAGCTTTTGTATTTAAGTCCTGCACTAACGCTGCCCAGGGGATCATTTAGAAGGGCCAAGACTTTACACAAAGGGCAAGGTTTAATCTTGTGATGCAGAATAAATATCCCTGCTGATAAAGAAGTAACAGCAAGGACTCTCCTCAATGCATCCCAATGTGGGAGTAAAGAAAACAGAGGCAGAGAAAAAGGAGAGGAGTGAGACTTCAGACACTTCTGACAGCTCCGTTTACAGGAGAAAGGAAGGGGGTTTCGAGGGAGAGGGAGTAAAAGGCAAATGGAGCAAATAAGGAGTGAAACGGGAGGAAACAGAGCATAGAAGACAGATGAGGGAGGTAATGAACTAATGAAAGCAACTTTAAGGACTAATATCTTGCAAAGACCAAATCTTCTTGGTTTCTCTGGGGAAAAGAGAGGTCCTACAAGTTTATGAGGCTAGGTTCAACATCCAAAGGCCTCATCCCTCTCAAACAAACACCACAATAACTGATAAGGACCAACATCAATGCCAATTCCAGTTCCACTCCCCTCAGTCATTTTCCATGTCTGTGGGTAAATTCATTATGATAGGACTTCCGGTTGATACACCACCAAGCTGGCTGTGTTGTAGAGGAGCCCCCAAAGGAACCAGAGAAAGTAAAGATAACCCCCCTTGAATTGAAGTTAGAACAGGAAAAACCAATAGCGATAGAGTTCAAAATCAAGAGGGGGTGAAAAATACGCCGGAATATACTGTCGCCGACGAACTGTAAGTAAGCAAATTAACTCGAAGAGACAAGTTGGATAACCGGCGCTAGCACTAGCTACCACTGGATAAAGCTAACCACTGTAAGACAAGGCTATATAAAAGCAACGACAAAACGACACATTGGAAAGTATCTTGGGCGGGGAGAATATGGCAGACTACAACAAACTTGCCGAGTTGCATGTGTAACCGGTCGCCTTTGGGTCTCTAAACTGTCCTCTTAATCCTCGCCTGTCCCTCTGGTGACTGGCCGTGCTGCGTTGTGTTAGC